AGGTTATTTTCTGGTTATTTTCAAGGTTTCAAAGGTTTAAAAAGTATCTCATTGGTTAAATTTTTCTGGTCTTTTCTGGTATTATGAGCGAAGATATTTCTATGACATCTGGTAATTCGTTTGGTTACGCTCGTAAGGTTCGTGAACCTGAGGTTTATAATGGTGAAAGAGACACTATCGCTGTGAATTCTTGGATTTACTCTTTGGAGTTGTATTTCTCCTTAGTGAAAATCGAACACCCACAAGAAAAGTTGTTGTATGCAGTCTCTTTATTGAGAAAGGATGCTCAATTGTGGTATTCACAGTTAAATACTTTCAATAAAGAGCATGTTCCTCAAGATTGGGACGAACTCAAGGTGGCTCTACGTACCGAATTTGTTCCCATTGATGCCATTGCGAAGGCTCGGGATAATATGGCTAGTCTGGTGCAAACTACAACAGTAAATCAGTATATCAATGACTTCCGTCGTCTGTTGTTGCAAATTCCTGATATGTCTGAGGGCGTTGCTCAAGACAAGTTTATTAGAGGTCTAATTAAGCCTCTACGTTATGCGGTCCGCTCTCAATTTCCCAAAACACTGGCAGACGCTCAACGTATCGCCTTGGCAATTGAAAGTGCAGAAGAGGGTGAGGTAGCTCAACCTATCAAGATGAGAACACCTCAACCTCAGTATGAAGCTATGGATTTGGACGCTATTCGTGACTTGGTAAATGCTCTCAACGGTGGTTCTGGTAGACGAATGGCTCAGTCTAATAACGGTCGCCGTAACTTTAACAGTGGTAATTTCGCCAGAAATACCGATGTTCAATGTTACAACTGTAAAGGCTGGGGCCACATGCAAGGCGAATGTCCTAGTCCCAGGTCTAGTCGTGGTGGTGGTAATCGACGTTCTGGCGACTCTTTTAACAACCGTTTAAAAGAGTAAGCGTGTTTGACGGGGAGGGAGATCAAGCACGCTCTAAAACAAGATCCCTCAACAGTATTAAACAAGATAATACTGTTCCAACTAATAGTGATGATGTCGAGGATTTACTAGGACTAGATAGTGATCATGAAACAGATGACTTGAAAGCAGACAATACATATCTGTTCAATCTAAAAAAGTCTAATAAAGCATCAACTGATTTGCCCCTGTACTCGTTTGATATCTTTACTAACGATGGTTCACGTAATTGCTACAAGACTATACAAGTACTTTTGGATACGGGTGCAAGCTCAAACTATATCAGTCCTACCCTGGTAAATCCTGCAACTATGAAAGTGACATCACTACAAACCAAGCACGAGGTGGAAACTGCTAACGGTCAAGTCTCAGTGATTAAAGATAAGGTTGAGTTCTCGGTGTCTGCAAATGGCGTTGGCCAACGGATTCAAGCTTATGTATTTGATACTAAGTTTGATCTTATCCTAGGTCAGCAATGGTTTCAGCAATACAAGCCTGTTCCCAACTGGTCTAATAGCTCTTGGTCTATCTCTGGTCCTTATGGTGTGGGTACAACTGTCTTATCCCCAGTTAACTTGGTGTCTAAATCTGAAAGTCTGGTGTACGTTATGAGCAAACGCCAAATGCAACGTTCATTACGCAAAAATAGCATAGACGAGTTATTCTTGGTACATGTGAAGGAATCTGGCTTGCACAACATGGTCGATACTGGCGATAATCTTGGCAAGGCTATCTCTAAGCTCTTAGCAGAGTATAAAGATGTTTTCACGGATAAGTTGCCTCCTGGTTTGCCTCCAGACCGTGGAATTGAACACGTAATCGAAACTGGTGATGCTGAACCAGTCTGCAAGCACCCTTTTAAGATGAGTCCTTTAGAACTAGACGAACTACAACGTCAACTAAAAGACTTATTAGACAAAGGGTTCATCCAGCCTAGTTCTTCGCCTTGGGGGGCTCCTGTTTTGTTTGTCCGCAAGAAGTCTGGTGAACTGCGAATGTGCATCGACTTCAGAATAATCAATTCTTTGTGCACCAAGAAGTTGAATACTCCATTACCTCGTATTGATGAGTGTTTAGAACGATTAGGTGGTGCAAGATACTTCTCTCAGTTCGATCTGACTAGTGGGTATCACCAAATTAGGCTCTCAGACTCGGATGTTCCCAAAACTTGTTTTGTAACTCGTTATGGTGCTTTTGAATGGCTTGTACTACCTTTCGGACTTCGGAACTCACCAGCAGTGTTTCAAAATATGATGAACAAATGTCTGTCTGGTTATGTTGACCGTTTCGTGCAGCTCTATTTGGACGATATTCTGGTCTACTCTAAAACAGCAAAGGAACATCTTGAACACATTCGTCTGGTCTTGGAGAGGTTCAGACAATTCAAGTTGTATGCAAACCCTAAGAAGTGCAAGTTCAATCAAAAAGAGGTTGAATTCTTGGGCATGAAAGTCTCGGCTGATGGTATTCTTCCTTCTGACACCAAGGTAAAAGCTATCAAAGACTGGCCTACACCTACCAATGTACAGGAAGTTCGTCAGTTTGTCGGTTTAGCGTCTCATTACCGAAGGTTTATCCGCCAGTTCTCCTCGGTGGCTGCTCCTCTGACGGAACTAACTAAAGGTACTGGTCCCAAACGTCGTAGTATTATTTGGAGTCAGGAATGTCAAAAAGCTTTCGAGCAATTGAAATTCTTATTGACACATGCTCCTTGTTTACAGCCTCCTGATGTCTCTAAACCGTACATTATTGAAACTGATAGCTCTGACTTTGGTTGTGGTGCTGTTCTCCTGCAAAAAGATGACTCTGGTGCTCTACATCCTCTGGCGTTTGAATCCAAAAAGTTTTCTATGGCTGAACGGAACTACCCTGCACAAGAGAGGGAGCTACTTGGTGTATTACATGCTCTTCGGGTTTGGCGTTGTTTTATCGATGGTGCTGACTATGTGGTATACACGGATCATAACCCTCTTCAGTATCTGAGATCACAAGCAAAACCTACCGCTCGTTTGGTGCGTTGGCTCTCAGAAATTGAAACTTATGATCCTAAGATACTCTACAAGCCTGGTAAAATGAACGAAGTCCCGGATGCGTTGTCACGTCGCGATGGAGCTGACTGTATACCTGCAGAATCAAGTATGGAACCTCGCTACTTGTATTCTGTAGACTCTAATATCTTGGTTCACCCTACCGACTGGCCCACATTCTATCTGACAAAACCAGAACTGGTCCCTGACACGGTCAAATCTGTCTTAGAGTCGAATCGTGATAAGTTTGTGATAAAGCAAGACAAGGTGTATCGTCTAGTGAAGGTCAATAATCAACAGCTTGAAGCAAGATTCTGTTCTTTCTCAAATCGCGCTACCCTGGTGAATAAGTTCCATGAAGGCTTTGGTCATGCCGGTCAGCTTACGGTATTTGAACTTATGCGCAAACGTTGGTGGTGGCCTAACATGCGAACTGATATTCAAACCTGGTTATTAGACTGTAAAGAATGTCAGTTAGCATCTAGTCCTGGCAAAAACAAACATCATGCTCCTATGGTTCCCTTGGATATTCCTCCTGCTTTTGGTCGCTGGCATCTAGATTTTGTTGGTGAATTACCTCTAACAAATCAGGGTAATAAATGGCTCCTAACGGCGGTAGACTATACCACTAATTGGCCTATTGCTCGTGCTGTCCCAGAGGCTACTGCGGAAGTTGTTGCAGATTTTATCTATGAGGAGATCGTCATGAAGTTCGGCTGCCCTCAAGAAATCCTGACTGATCGTGGTGCAAATTTCATGTCTACGGTGGTAAAGTTGTATATGAATCGCATAAAAACAAACCACAAGTTCACGTCAGCTTTCCATCCGCGCACAAACGGAAAATGCGAACGACTTAATGGTATTCTCAAGGCTATGCTTAGGAAATACGTCAATGGTGCTATTCATATTTGGGACAAGTTTGTAGATACTGCTCTTTTTGCTGCTCGGGTCCGTCACCATCGTTCTACTGGTTATTCTCCCTTCTACTTGGTATATGGCCGTGAACCTTTGCTTCCTGGTGATTATACTCGTCCTTATTTCGATAAGTTGACTTCTAATGACCCAAGGACAATTGCTGAACACACTGCTCGAGAACTTGAGGATATTGGTCAAATCCGCGCCGCCGCTGCCCATCGAATGAAAATAGTATCTGAGTCTGACAAGAGACGTTGGGATGCTGCTATCGAAAAGCTGGAATTCGAGATTGGTGATCATGTCTTACTCAGAAATGAGCAAAAGTATGGTCTGGAATACAACTGGATAGGCCCTTTTGTCATTGTAGATCGAAACGAGGCCAACCATGTTTACAAACTAGAAACTATTGGTGGTGAACCTTACACTTCTTGGGTACATATCGATCGATTAAAAGGTGTCAAGGCTGATTCGATCGATACTCCTTGGTACAATCCCACGGTTTCTCGTGCTGCTTGGCGCTCTGAAATGGGTCTTGACTCAAGGAATAAGGCTACTTCTGACTCGGTTGAACAAGTTGATCAGAGGCGATCAACATTCTCGGGGGGAATGATGTCGTACCCAAACTTAGGTTTAAGCCCAATGTTAAGAAAGCGGCCAGAAGACACCAGCAGGTGCTCGAAGGTTCTGGAAATTATTAGTCAGATGTTTATCTGATTATCATTACCATATCTGGCATTCCCCTTATACGGCTACGACTTCAAATACTAGAAGCTTCCACTTGAGTCACAACTCAGACATTATAGATAGTATAAATATAAGTTGCACTCAATGAAATAAACATCATCTTTCAACACAAATATTAAGTATTAGTTACACTCTATAGTAAGTTAAGCCCTACGACTTATTATACGTATCTCTGGTTATACTTTACAAGTTTTATTGGCTTTGCTACTTATTGGATTTATCTACAAAGACGACAAATATGTCAATCCTCAATGGTCCAGTGGCTAGGATTTGTCGCTTTCACCGACACGGCCGGGGTTCGATTCCCCGTTGGGGAATTTCTTTTGTCTTTCTAAATCGTTTGATTGTTTTTTTTCTCAACTTGGGTTTACCGAATCCGTATAGCTATCATGTATTGCTCTCTCTATTATTTTTATTATTGTTTTATGTCTCAATTGATGTGCTAACTTTTACCTTGCCTTACTTGATTCACTTCTTCAGGGCAGATCTAAACATTGCATTTCTCAAATATAATACGATGGCAATACATGAAAGAAACAAAGAGTTTTACAAGTGATATATGATACATGCAAAGGAACAAGCATTTGTTTTATTATATACAATTACACATCTTCTGCTTCTGACATGTCACTTAAATCAGGTCCATCATCAAATATGCCCAAATCTAATCCAATATTATCATCACTGTCTGATTGACTATGAGACGGCTTCATGCGTTTATGATGTATACGTTGTGGCTATAAATAAAATGATCAGTACATAGGACAAGTCAACAAGCAAAAAGAAGACTTACCACAACAACCTCTTCTTCTTCAGATTCATCAAAGATATGTCCTCGTTTGATGACTTTTTGATTTCGAAGATTGGTTTCTCTTACTCGATGAAGAATAGTGGTTGATGTATCATATTTACGTTCTTTTATCTGTGATAACTGAACTTGGCGCATACGATTGGGTTGAGGTGTATTGAATATAGAGGGTTTTGTCTTTGCACGTCGAGGACTAGTCAATGGTTTACGATGCATAGCTTCTCTTTTTGGTGTTCTCGGTGGTGCAACAGGCTCCTGTGGTTTCTCATTCTCTTGCTTTAAATCATTCCCATAAATCACATCAAAATAAGGTTGACCATAGACCAAGAATGGGTATCCTTTCAATGCTTCAAATTCAAGTAAGGCACCTTCTAATTCTTTTGTTACTTTAGGTAATTCTCGAGAAATACGTTTACGAAACTTTTCTTCACGCAATAATCGACCAGGATCACGCTGTCCTTTACCAAACAATCGATTAGGGTCGCGGGTGATTGCTTCAAATTCTTGTATTTCTTTCTTCAGTCGCATATGTTTCTCAATCAGTTCCAGAATGTATTTTGAGTCTTCTGTCTCTAACTGAAGTCTGGATATTTCATTTTCATGTGCTTCTAATATGGCATCCGAGAATTCATCTATTTTGTTGTCAGTTTAGGTTGCATTATGAACTAAAAAAAACAACATAAAAAGCTTACCTGTATGTGCAGGAGCAAATCGAGCTCTTTGTTTGTCACTGTAATACAGTTGATCCCATAATGACTTGAGTTCTTCTCTTGATGTCTGAATAAAATCACCCATTCTTTCATGTTTTAATTTGAGCATTCTTTCCAATTCAATTTCATACTAGTACTGATGTTAACAACACTTTCATAGCATAGCAAATACATACATTCTGTAGTTCTTTGAATGTGAAGCCTCGATTTGTCATCAGAAATGTCTCGCATTCTTGTGGATCCATATGCAATCGATTCCATAAATGCTTCAAGTTTTGTCCAATCTCTTCTTTTCTAAACTCTACTTGTTGTCTCTGTTCTTCTAATTGTTTAATACGTGTGGTGATGTCCTCAGATACCAGTTGATGAAACAGGTTCATACGCTTCTCTGGATCTTGTTCATGATAGAATTGATGAATAAGCTTATCTTGGTCTGATTGTGGTTCAAGTCCCATCAAGACCCATAACTGAAGAATGTGAGCCACGCCTTCTTCCACACGAGTCTTTTGGTTTGCATATTCAATCTCGCAACGACTGATCTCTTCTTCAAGTGCATTCACAGCTAAAGAAGACACATCAACATCTGAGGACATCATCATGCTTGTATTCACAAAATCGCCCAAGGCTTTTTTGAATTCTTCCAGTTGAAGATAGAGTTCATTCACGTGTTCTAGTCTTGCATTATATCTCTACTCAATGTCAATAGATGATTGTATGTACAGTGTACTTACTTGCTCTACTTGTTGCTTTTCTTGTATTAGATCAGATAGATTAGCAGAAAGTGATTTTGATGGATTCAAAACGGCTGTATTAGAGGCAAATTCACCCATAAGTTTTTTGTAGGAAAGTATTGACTTTTGTGTGTCTTGGATTTGGTTTAGAGTGTCTTGTTTAATCTGTTGGACTTTGTCAACTTCATTATGAATACATGTCGCTGTTGAAGACAAGGCAGTGACTAGCTGCTCTTGTCTTTCTGTTGTAGCTGATCCAATATCTTTTTGAATACTTGATAATCGTTCTAATTGTTGCTCAATAAGACGTGTAAGTTGATCTAATGAAGTCACTTGTGTATTCATCATATAAAGAACAGTTTTTTTTAAAAAAAGAAAAAAAATTATTTATTTATTTTTTAAACGCGTCTATCAAAAAATAAACAAAAAGGGGGAGGGGGAAAGTGAATTTTATTGTTATGGATGCATGACAACCTATTGCAGTGACAATATGTTAGCAACTATGTTTATGCGATACACCATAGATTATAAATAAAGAGAGTCTCGGTACTTTAATTTTTCTCTCTATTTTTTTCTTTTTTTTTTTTCTCAATTATCATGAGATCTCATTCAAGGTTATCCGATAGTGATTCAAGCACTTCAATAGCCTTTTCTGATGACGAATCAGAAGGACCGACACAACCTAATTCGAATTCTCAGTTATTTGCCAAGTTTGTACGAGACACTCGTTCCAGAGTAGAACAAAAGACATCTGAAATCAACGCAACCATGCAAGAGAAATTGCCCGAATGGAAACAACGAGGTGCCATGTATTCCACAAAGGCAAAAGAAACGAGTATTGAATGGAGCAGACGAGGCAAAGAAGCAGTGGATCGATGGAAAAAAGAAAGACAAGGCAAGTAAGGCACCTATGTCAATGACACTCATAAGTGACGATAGAGGTAGGGAAAGAAAATGCAGTGTTTGGTATGCCATTAGAAATAGCAGTCGCATTAACTCGGGTTGATACGGATGATTTGATACCTGCTATTGTCAGACGATGTATAGATTATCTGAATGATGTAGGTAAAGTATGAAAAAAGAAAAAAAAACAATTCGCTCTATCTATTGTTAATATGGATCGTGTAATAGGCATACATGAAGTAGGCATCTATCGAATTCCAGGCAGTACAACTACAGTCAACAAATTAAGAGCCGTGTTTAATGATGGATCTGACATCGATTTCTTCCAGACACAGCCAGATCCACATGCAGTAGGCACTTTGTTGAAAATGTATTTGCGAGAATGTAAAGTCTAGTTTTGTATGATGACAAAATGACTGATGCACTTGATAGTACCAGAACCTATCATCCCTCATGAACTAGTAGATGAATATGAGCTTCAATGTACAATGGATACCCCACAAGCCTATGCCAATATACGTTTGATCAACAGTCGATTACCCTTACATCATTTCTGTCTTTTACAGCGCTTATGTCAGCATTTAAAGCGTGTGGTTGATCATGCCTATGAAAATCGCATGTCAGTCTCCAATTTGGCTGTCATTTTCTTACCGACACTCAATATGAGCCGTGCCTTATTTCATGGCATGATTGAACACTATGAAGATATCTTTGTCAAAAAACCACCACCACTCCCTCAGAAGCCACGTAATCTCTCAATTGACAATACACCCTCCAAGCGTATTTTGCATTCCAAGACCATGTCAGATACACATCTGATGAAAAAAGTACCACCTCCAAAGCCAAGTCGATCCCCTTTAAAACCAGATCAACCTCATTTACCTCCTCGACCTATCAGCAAACCAAGATCGAAATCTGTTTCTCTATCAGATCCACCCAGAGGCCGTGTAGAAGCTATTGGGAAACAGTTTGAAACGCTTATGCAACATCAAAAGTAAGTTGCCATCTTACCTCATCTAGTTTCCCTCTATCTCCTGGTTTAAAATTGAAAACAATGTTGTATAAACTAATTTTTATGATTAAAAAAAAAAGACTTCAAAGAAAAAAAGTCAATGGCTAGAAAGCAGGGCAAACCATGTACTTGATTCCTGCTTGACAGCCAAGATCTTGATATATTAAAGTTGTTGAGTGTCGATAAATGACTGCAGCCACTCAGAGAGTATCACTAACGATAAGACCGTTAGAGACATGTTGCCACTTACCATCCATATTGATAGTAGCAGAACTATCATCGACCTTACGCACTCTTCGATCTAGGAACTGTTTGAGATCATCTTCAGTGTAGTATTGACTAAGTTTTATGGAAAAATGTGGGGAACAAGACTGTAGAGAGACCAATCGCCAGAGCTGATAATCGCTCACGAGACATAGTTGCTTTCTTGGTCTTTACGGAAATACAGTCCTTATTTAAGCAATAGAAAGCACCTTTCATTGTTCTTGTTCCCTTCTCGGTTCTGTTCACTGAGTGGGCTAATTTCTGGAAACAAAAGATACATGTCTGGGACGTATTATATTCGTTTGTGATGCGTACAATACTTGCGCTACCGAGTAGTTTACACTTCCATATCGTTTATGCCCTTTTATCCTTGAGCCAGTACCAAGGCCTGGGCCTTCAACAAACAAAAAACCTTTTGACTTCTTAGGAATTATTCAGAATGGCACAATTAATACCAATCACAAGCTATCATGATGAGTTATTACCTTTCCTTTTTTTGTACAAGCTTCTTTTCTTGATTACAGATCTTTAGGCAGACATGGGTATTCTGCAGTCCATTTGTTCCAATAGCATCGGTTCATTTACTAGAAACATAATAAGCACTTGATTCTTTTTTCTATGGCTTGAATGGACTTTGTATCTTTGTTTGAACTTGGCAGGGCATTGCAAGCTATTTTCAAAGAGAATATAGCAGCTAATTTATTTAGAAATTCATTGCGTTTCTAAATATCTCATATTATTAACAAACATTGTTTGTGGCAAGGAGTATGAGAAGGTATTCATTCATATTGACTGTTATTAACATAAAGTTCCTACAAGCAACCATAATTGTAGACCTAAATATCAAAAGGCTTTCTTAAATTGAAATTCACAGTGCTCAGTTTCATACATTAAAAAGAGATAGATAAATAACCCTTCAACATCGAATAAGACGGTTACATAACTTCTGCTGGCAGTCAACGAAAGTGTGTTGTAAGGTCTCTTTAATACCTTTTTGAACTTCGAGATCTCTATGTTGTATATGTTCCTTAACTATAGATTGAATACTATATCTTATGGAGTCTAGTTACAAATATATATATTCAGGACCAAAAGAAAGATGCTTTTATTTGATTTACGTTTGTTACAAATATATGAGAGAGGCGCTGATCACGAGTGACCTCCTCTCTCATACATACATTTAGATTTTTGTTTGCAGTTTTGTGTTTGTGATTTTGTTACAATTATATAAATTTGGTGTCGCCTCCTTAAGGTCTGACAGCTAATGTTGAGCAGCACAACAAATGGTTGAAATCGGACTTTCAATCGGTCGTGTCCCCTTTTTCGTCCAAATGTAACTACTACCAGAAGACTGGCAGTTGTTGAAATCCTCCTCTTTTATATTTTAGGTTCGATCCAGCATGAAGGTAACATATCAACCTAGAGGAAGGGATGTGATGCGTATAGAGAGTTTAGATGAATAGATAGATGGATGGATGGATGATTTCTATTCGATTTTTTTTTATTATTCTCCAGCATGTTACCAATCAGTCTCATTCAGTCTACTCCAATGCACACCCATCACCTTCATCTCATAGAATAACAACAGCAAGGCTAATGCCCCCTTTTTTTTTCTGACATTAGCTTAACATTGCGAACCCAGCCACTGGCTGTCAAAAGTTGATTGAAATTGAAGACGAGCGTCGTCTGTAAGTATAAATAATGGACGATAATGAGGCTAATGACACTATTAGCCGTGGTTTCTATGACAAGCGCATGGCCCAAGAAGTCTCTGGTGACTCTCTCGGTGACGAATTCAAGGGTTATGTCTTCCGTATCACTGGTGGTAACGACAAGCAAGGTTTCCCCATGAAGCAAGGTGTTCTCTTGCCTCACCGTGTCAAGCTCTTGATGTCCAAGGGTCACTCTTGCTACCGTCCTCGCCGTACTGGTGAACGTAAGAGAAAGTCTGTCCGTGGTTGTATTGTTGGTTCTGACCTCTCTGTCTTGTCTCTCGTTGTTGTCAAGCAAGGTGAACAAGACATTCCCGGTTTGACTGATGCTACTGTTCCTAAGCGTTTGGGTCCTAAGCGTGCTTCCAAGATCAGAAAGTTCTTTGTAAGTTCTTTATGCTCAGTGAACATGTTATTCATATATATCGTTTCTATAGAACTTGAGCAAGGAAGATGATGTCCGCAAGTACGTTATTCGTCGTGAAGTTCAACCTAAGGCTGAAGGTAAGAAGGCTTACACCAAGGCTCCCAAGATCCAACGTCTTGTTACTCCTCTTACTCTTCAACGCAAGAGACACAGACAAGCTCTTAAACGTAGAAGAGCCGAAGCTTCTCGTGAAGCCGAAGCTGAATACAAGCAATTGCTTGCTAAGCGTGTCAAGGAATCCAAGCAAGAAAAGATCGAACGTCGTCGTACTTCTTCTATGCAAAAGTCTGCTTCTGCTTAAAATAGAATAAACTGAAAAGAAAAGATTGTAATTTTGTATCATCTATGCAATGTTTATGCAAAGAAAACCCCCTCATTTGAATGTGACCGTGACATAGAATAAATTTCTTCATCTTTTTCTTTTGATCTCGATTGATGAGTTCACACCTTCGTACGCATTCACTTCAATCGCGTGTGGATGCGAATCAACAACGATCGAATGAACCTCATATTGAAAAACTACAAGTGATTATCCCTCAGCATCTATCTAAACAATTTTCACCTAAGGCCGATGCTGGATTACGACCTCTTCAGACAAACAAGAAACGACCTCAACTCCAAGACGTCTTGAACTACTATACTGAAGAACCCAAAGAAAAAAAGAAACCAGAATATCAATTAGTACAAGAAAAGAATGTACCTAGTATCATTAAAGACTATCGACGTAAGAAGCAATACAAGAAAATGGAATGTCTAGGCCAGGTAAAACAAAACACATACAACTAGCTTTCTCATGGTGTATAGGGTGCATTTGCTAAAGTGTATCGTGTGGCTACGATGGAAGGTCAATTCTTGGCTGCCAAAGTGATTGCCAAATCGTCATTAACCGATAAACGTTTAAGGAACAAGATTCTGGCAGAAATCAACATTCATCGT